GATGTGGGAGGGGGGACTTGTCACATGTCACATTTCGCCCGCGCCTCGGCGAGCGCCTGGGCGGGTGCCCGCGTGGCGAATGGCTTCGCTTTCGAGGGATCGTGAAGATTCCCATTTACTCCTTCGCGGAAGACGCCGGCGTAAAGCCGCGGTAGTAACACGAGGGCTGCTTCGCCAGCGGAAGCCGAAGGAAAGCTGGTGCAAGCGGGCGGAAGGAAGTGCCGGCTCGCCACGTGATGACATCCATGGATTTATTGCTTACGGAACGAGCCACGTGGATCCGGTAAAGGAGAAGCAGCAGGGTCAACCGCACACGGCACGGTTGGCACGTTTCCAGATCATGATAATGCGAATGATAATGCTGATGCTGATGATGATGCTGATGCTGATGCTGATTGTGGTGATGGAGGTCGTGGTGGTGGTGGTGATGATGATGCTGAGGATGATGACAGTAGTGATGATGGTGATGATGATGAGGAGGATGAGGACCAGTGTAAGCCCAAGGGTCATCAACGATGTTGGAATTACCCCTCCTTCCAAGCTCCATTTTCATAGGACCCTACAACGGTTCATTTCCATTGAGGGAGCTGCCTCGTTGGAAGACAACCGTTTGAAGATCTTGAAGCATGCCGAAACATTGTCTTTGGGAATTCAACGCCACGGATTAGCCTGACTGCTGCGTCTTGACGATGCGGAATCGTGCCGGAAAGCTGTTTTTGGGACTTCAACACCGCGAATCAACATAACCGCTGCGCCCGCATAATCTGGATTTTTTTCAGACACCATTTCTGGTACGGTGATCATGAGAACCAGTGAAACTCTTGCAGTTATAAGAAATGAATGTGCGCGGCGCTGAGGCGAGAGCCACATTTTGAAAACGAGCCGCCCTAAATCTTTGAAGCATTTGCAAATGTTTGAAACGAATGAGCACGGCGCTAACGTGTTATCCACATGTTGAAAAGCACCCGCCCTCAATCTGTGAAGCTCTTGCAAATGTTTAAAGCGAATGTGCGCGGCGCTAAGGCGAGAGCGACATTTTGAAAAAGGCCGGCAATGTTTGAAACGAATGTGCGCGGCGCTAAGGCGAAAACCACATTTTGAAAGCCAGCCGCCCTCAATCCGTGAAACTCTTGCAAATGTTTAAAACGAATGAGCGTGGCGCTAAGGCGAGAGCCACACTTTGAAAATTGTTGTCGCTTCGCGAATCCCCACCAGCCCATCCAGAAACGATGCCCAGAGGAATTGCCTCGATCAGAGAAGTGGGCAGCACACAGAGGAAGCCATTATGAGACATCTTGGGATATCTTGAGCCATCTTGGAGGTCATTTTGGGCTCTCCCAGACGCTCTTGGAGTCATCTTAATCCGTGCCCCCCCCCAAGAGGCCTCCATGTGGCTAAAACCTGTGTAGAATCAATGATTAGGCATTCTCGCCGAGGCCTCTTGGAGCATCTTGGGTGCATCTGGGGGGGCTCTTGGGGCCTCTTGGGGGTCTCTTGGGGGCCTCCGGGGGGCCTCTTGGGGGCCTCTTGGGGCCATTTTGGGGCCATCTTGGGACCTCTTGGGGCTTCCTGGGCGCTTCTTGGGGCCATCTTGGAGGAGATCGATCAAACAAGAGGGGGGGTTTAATTAGCGTCCCCCCTCGGAAGCCCCTAAAATCGCCTCTTGGACCCCTCTTGGAACGCTCTTGGAGTGCTCTTGGGCGCTCTTGGGGCCGTCTTGGGGCTCTTTTGGGGCTCTCTTGGGGCCCTCTTGGGCCATCTTGGAACCATCTCCAGGCCTCGGATGGCCATCGGAAGCGAAAAGGCGAGAAAGCAAAAATCATTGATTTTCCTTAGGTTTTGGGACGATTTTGGCCTCTTCGGGGCCTCCTTGGGGAGCTGTTTGGCCACTTGGAGTTATCTTGGGGCCGTCTTTGGGCTTCTTGGAACCATCTTAGGAGCCATCTCGAGCGATCTTGCGCTATCTTGAGCCATCTTGGAGCTCATCTTGGGTTCTCTGAGGCGCTCTTGGAGCCGTCTTGGGCCATCTGGGACGCTCTAACTACCCGCGGCCCCCCCCGTCCAGGTCCAGGGGAGGGGGTAGGGGGAGGGGTAAACCCCTCCCCAAGGGGGAAGAGGGAGGGGTGGAAGAGAATCTGTTCTAGACCACCTACGCCCAGAGGGCTGGTGGGATTACCCGCCCTCAATCCGTTAATCTTCTTGCATTTTTTAACGAATGCGTACGGCGCTAAGGCGAATGCCAAATCTTGAAATCCGCCCACCCTCCATCTGTGAAGCTGTTGTCACCGATTATGTTTCAGAGTCATAAGTGGTGAGGAACTCACAGGCGAAACGCCCGGTCCGCCAGAAAAACGGGCTTCGGGGTGCGACAGGGAACAGTTAGTTAGAATGAAAAGTAATTGATAATGATGAGGGTGAGGATGATGATGATGATGACAATGGTGAAGTCAACGATTATGATGATTATGGCTGATGATATGATGATGACGATGGTGCTGATGATGCTAATTATGCTGCTGATTATGATTGTGATGTTGCCGGTGATGATGATGATGATGATGATGATGATGATGATGATGATGATGATGATGATGATGATGATGATGATGATGATGATGATGATGATGATCACGATGATGACGCTGATTATGATGATGTTGTTGTTGATGATGATGGTGTGATCATAGTGGCTACGATAGTAAAAAGGGCATGACCTGCAGCTTTCTCGGATCGAGCCCGCCCCGCGCTGCGCGCCAGGCGTGCCCGCGGTTGATGCGTGGAGGGCCTGCGGCCAGAACGACTTGGAGACGAGGCTTCCTATCGGGGCCACTCCCAGCGGCGAGGACGCCGCACCAGAGGGCGGTGGACTCACGGGGTCCCCTGGGTCGACATCCCAGACACCACCCATAGCGGGCCGCCCACAGGGGCGGCAGGTGCCGAACCTGTGGTTCGGGCCGCCCCTGCCGCTGGCAGCCGCGGCTACGCAATCAGGGCCGCCCGATCGTCGCCAGATTTGGAGACGGTAATTACACCAGCGAGCGGAATCGATTGTGTCGGTTCCTGTCGTTGGGCGAGGCAACCGACCAGTTCTTTGACGAGGAGCGGGACTACTCATGCACTGTGGGTGTCTTCGACTGGCCCAAGACACAATGACGGCGCTGCCAGCTGGCGCGCTGGAGCAGACCGGGGACGTCCTGCTCCGTTCGTGGCTGCTCGAGCTGTCCATGTCCGGGGCCCGCGCCGCTTGCGCGGCAGCGAGGTCCGAGGCCCAAGTCGTCGGCGCCAAGTTCGCGCGGCTCGATTGCCCCGTCTCCGACGACGCCCTGACGCAAAACGACTTCAGCGACCTCGAGCTGGAGGAGCGCTTTCTCGCCGTTTGCCTCCCTCACGACGCCGGTTCGGTTGCCTCCACGGGCCATGTCTCGGCGACGTCGTTGTCGGCCCTGGGCGAGGAGATGCCGGCAGACGTGGCCTGCGCAAAGGTCTCGCTGGCGTTTGCTGGCGTTCCTGGCGCAACTCGCCGAGAGCCGCGCGGAGGGCGAGGTGATCCAATTCTTCGACTGCGGGCGGGCGCGCGGGGCGCGCGGCGAGGCCAGGGCCGGCGGCGGGCAGCGCCGTGGGGGCCGCCGCCCCCCGGCGCGCCGACGCGTCGAAAAAAACGATCTTCAAGACGCCCCCGGGAGCTTGGAGCGCTAGATGCTGGCGGCGGCCAACAGAAGGGCTTCTCGACCGAATCGAGCAGGTCGAGAAGCGATGCATGGAGGCCCGCATGGAGGCCCGTGGCATCACTGCGGGCCCCCCCCGGCCGCTCCGAGGTCGCTCCTCCGGGAGGGGCCCTCGGCGAGCGCGCTGGCGCCTGCTCGTTTGTCCCGGGCAGATCGCCCTTGCAGAGCCGCTCGCGGCGCCGCCCGGGACGGCGCCTCAGCTCCGGGGGGCGCGGCCCGCGCCCGCGCCTCCGCGGTCCAAGGCGGCGGGGGAGACCCCGGCGACGGGGCGGGGCTGGTCGAGCGGGCCGACGGGCCCTCCCCGCGCGAGCAGGGCAGCCGCGCGGCTCCAGAGAGGAGGGCCGACCACCTCGGGGCCCATCGTCGAGGCAAGCGGCCGCGATGCAGACAAGGCCGCCGGGCTGGCGACGCCGCGGGAACTGGAGAGGGTCGGCGGCCCCAAGAAGGCGAGGGCGAACCCGCCCCGGGCGACCTCGGTCCTCTTCGGGGACGCAGCCTCCAGCTCCGGAATGGCGGGCCCAGTGGCCAGGATCAGCGGCGCCGAGGGAGCAGCAGGGCCCTCGGCGTTCAACGGGGCCATCGAGCGCGAACCGCCGAAGTGACCTGCCCGCGTCGACGCCGCGGCCTTCGCCGAGCTCCGCTGCGACGCCGCTGGCACGCCGTGGAACGCGACGCTCTACGGCAGGTGCAGGATCAGACTCTGGCGCCTCGAGAACCGCGAGCGCTGCTGGGAGACTGTGAGACCTTTGCGCCCCTGCCGCGAGCTGCGCAAGTCGCGGCAGTGCGACCTCCTCGGCGCCCGGATTTGCCTGTTCCTGAAGGCCGCGCAGCAGTCGGCGAATGCGAGCGGCTCCTGGAGGCTGGCCTGGCTGATCATGGGGCGCCCAGGCCCTGCCCGCGGCGGGCCTGGCGGCGAGGGGCCTTGCCCGCCCCACGCAGTTTGCAGCCTCGGCTCCCCGCTTGCGAGAGACACGGGCCTTCGAGATCGCCCGCTAGACAGGGGGCGGGGGCGCCGGCGAGGGCCGTGCCGGCGCGGGCCGCGTCTGGGACAAGAAGTCGAAGGAGTGGACCAACGCGAAGGAGCAGGGCGGCGGCGGGGGCGGCGGGGGGCGGGGGGGGCGAGTGATTGTCTCCAGATGGGTCCGACAGCCTATAGAAACACCGAGGTGGACCAGCTCAATGGTCGGGCCTTCATCGCAATTGCTTGCGACTCCGACTTCGCAGGCCGCCGTTGATTCTGCGATCTGCCCACCCTTTGCATCTAGCCTGCCGACC